GGTGGTTTGGTGCGATATTCTATGTGGGATGATTATTTTGCAATCGAACCAGAAACCGGGGTTTTGAGAGTAGCAGGAGACCTGACTGAATTGTTGACACCTGGGATGAAAGTGCTAAATCGTGATGTGGAGATTATCGCTACTGATGAAGGATCACCAAGGAAAAGTGCAAAGAAGGTCATGAAAATCCTCATAGAAGATGTCAACAATCATGCGCCACAATTTCAAGAGGTTGGTCATTTCAAGCATCTAATCTTCTATTTTTCTTTTGAAGATAAAATTACATTTTCTTAAAGGTTTTGTTACTTTTTAGTTTCAATGAATTTGCCTGTTTTTCCTCTCGCATTTATATGTTTGCACTTCTCTCAATTCCGGTAACTTCCTCTTCTGCACTTTCCTCTATCCTCATCGGACGTCCGAGTAGTTGGTATGTTGCCCGCTATGTTGCCCTTAGTCTCCTTATGCCTAATTAGCTAATGGATTGGCTCAATGGACCACGGTGGCAGAGTGTGTAGGTCGAGCGCTCATCTCGCCTTCTCAGGTATCCGTTCGCTCCTTACTGGAACAGATGTAAGAAGGAAGGGTGAAGGCGTTTTGGCGAGGGGAGGTATAGACGGGATGAGTTGAATCAAAAATTGGGTTCTGAGGGTTAGAAAAATGCTTTGAAGCAGTAATTAATTATTGTGTGAATTAACTGAGTTATCGTACCCTCTGATAAAGAGGTGATTTCATGTTCTTTGCGTTCTCCATTTCCATAATAGTCTCTGTTTTTGACTTCTTGACTTGATGCTTGGGCAAAGGGCTTCGTTTAATCCTTCTATTAGACCAACATCTATCATCTGGTCAACCGAGAGGATTTGAGACAACGTTGAAGTTAATGGAGAGGAATTTGAGGGATAAAGTGAATGAATAGATGATTGCTGGTGTCTCTCTCTTTCAAGGTTTCGGGTAATTATTGAAGACTTCTATATCAAACGATGGCTGCAGTGGATGTGAGCGCATCAGGAAATGTTCAAAGGAATAATATCTTGGTTTTTCAAACCATCGGGACTTTCTTTCATTTTAGATAAACGGAATATTACAAATTTGCAACATAGGTTCTTTGACTCTCAATC